TAACAAACAGAGAAGCGTGATTCATCACTTTTCCACTGCTCCAGAGTCCAATGGCAGCGTGCTTTACACTACTCAATACAATGCTTTGTATTTTTTACTTGGTGATGTGAGGCATGAATGTAGCTGCTCAGCCATGGAAACCCATTACATTACATAGTTACATAGCTGAAAATAGACTTGCATCCATCAAGTTCAGCCTTCCTCACATTTGTTTTTTGCTGTTGATCAGAAAAAGAAGGCAAAAACCTTCCGCTCACAGTTTTAGTGCTGATATTAATATCAGTGGAAGTTTGGAACTCTTCAGCTTTGGAATCAGCAGAACATTGGCTACTTTTAGGCACCATGTGCCTTGTCACTCAGGGGAACCCGCCCTGTGACTCTACATGGTCTTCCACTTTGTGGCTGAGTTGCTGCTTGCCGCTTCCACTTTCCATTAATACCATTTACAGATGACCTTGAAATATCTAGCAGGAAAGACATGTCATGAACTGACTTATTGCAAAGGTGGCATCCTATCACAGTACCACTCTTGAATTCACCGAGTTCTTCAGAACAACCCATTTTTCACAAGTGTTTGTAAATACAGACAGCATGGTTAGGTGATTGATTGTAAACACCCATGGCAATGGGTCTGATTGAAACACCTGAATTCAATAAAAAAGAGGTGTGTCCCAATACATGTGTTCATAAAATGGATGTACATGGCAGTGTAAGTCTATATCTGCCTACATCCCAGCAATCAAACATGCTAAGTATATGCAGACAAACCGCTGCAAACACCAAAATTATATACAAACACACTCTTTCATTCCAACACCAATACTACACAGAAACATACATAAAGCATTTAAAATCCAACACTACATACAAATCCACCCCTGCATTTAAAGACAAATTCTACAAACACTTCCCTTTATTAAAATGCCAAAATTCTACAAAAAAAACTTTAATTCAAAAACCAACACTACATACAAAAGTACACATGCATTTAAAAGCTAGCATTACATAGCAGCACATCCCTGCAAACATTACATAAAAGTACACTACTGCATTCATTTGGCAACGGTGCATACACATACACCACTACATGTACACATAAACACACAATACAAAAACATGATTACATTCAACGCACAAACACTGCTCACAAAAACAATTTTGCGAGGATGGGCAAATGGTAGATTCCCAGCTTTCATAGCATCGTGGGAGTTGCACAACAGATTGGGACCTACCTTTTGGGCACCATTGCTCTAAAGGGGGTCCACCCAAAAAATTATTGCACCAGAGCCCTCTCTAGTTTAGTTCAACTACTTGTTCAAGGTGTTACCTGAGCCTCCAAATTCCCCAGATCTCAATCCAACTGAGCATCAGTGGGATGTGCTGGAACAACAACTCCGATCTATGGAGGCCCCCCACCTTGCATCTTGTTTTTGCGACACAAGGGGGACCTACATGATTTTAGACAGATCATTTTAATTTTGTTGCTGATTAGTTCATGTTTCTGTGTTTCTGTCTATGTGTGCCTTTTTATTTTCATGCATATGCACAAAAGTACCAGGAACCATGAAGTCCTCATGCTGAAATTAGGTCCATAGCAGTCGCAGCTAAGTACCGCTGAGGTCCATTTGTGGGTTTGTTCGAGCAAACGACCACCAGGGAGCAAGTGTTCGGTTCAATTCTTGAGAGAAAAAATGTCAAACCCGGGCACGAGGGAAAGCCGCTGAAGATGGCCAGGTACGTTAGCTCCAGAATGGGGTCTCAGGACTGGGACCATAGTTGGTGGGCAGGAAGCCAACTTCCACACTCCTCCAGGAGTTTGTGGCAAACATTCATCGAAAGAAGTGTTTGTCACTTACACCACTTTCTCAGCAGAAGGACTTGAATCCAGGCAGAGCACCGCTAGGATGTTTTCCCCCAAGGTGTGGATGGGACTGTAATCTCTATACCTAGATCACAGCTATGCATGCCAGTTGGCCCAGATCCCCAAACGCGTGTCAGAGGGGCCCAAGATACCCTTCCTTCTTTTCAGCCGCTGAGTGGACTCCAGGGATAAGGGACAGTGGACACTTTTCCCAATCGATGGATATATGTTGTAGGAGAGGCAGAGGTTGGCTGCGTGAGTGATGCTCTTCAATGGGCAATTTGTTTGGGGTACCGATTTGATGATGGCGTTGGTGGGCTGAATGTACTTACTAACTTGCAAGTGAACCCGTCTTGGGTCTACTCCTGTATTGGTCCCAATGTGATGGAAGCTATCCTGGGCTGTAGAGACAGACTTCCAGATTTGCTGTTAGGGTGTGTGGGTGTCACGGTGAGTGAGGTTATATAGGGATAGGTTGTGAGGGGGACCATAGCACATTCATTGGGAACTCCCTTTCTCCACTTCCAAGTCCCCTCTTATGTCTAAGTCACCCTGTGCTAATTAGGGTGACTGGGAAGCCCAGTTTGGTTTGCCCAAACCAGAACTCCACAGACTGATCGGCTATGAGGGCTCCATGCGCCCGACCGGGACAAACTTAGAAACTATGTGGAAACTTGTCAAAGGGGGCTGTCAGGATGGATGGAATTTTTAGGACTTGTTACCCTACCAACTCAGGCACATACCTATTGGAGGTCTGGTACCTGGTTAGTCTACTTTCGGGGGGAAGATATGTGACAGTATTCACTATCACTGGGGATGGAGGAAGACAGACACTATATGTGAGTCCTCAGAGTGTCGTCTGGAGTTTAGGGAAAGAGCTATAATTACTACTCTGCTGGTGAAAAGAGGGTCTAGGGCTATAATCCTAGTAGCTTGGTCCAGGGTGGAATAGGCCCTTAGTGATCCCAGTCAAGCCACTGTGACTGGGTCTGAAGTCCTCCAGGGCCCCTGATAGCTACAAGGAAGCGGACTTGGCGGAGGTACTCAGTCAGTATACTGGAGTTCTGTCACACTCTCCATCACCCATTGATTAGTACAACCCATGCCAACCTAGCCTAACTTTCTTCTGTCACTAACAAATAAAACTCTTAACATGTAAGAAGTATATAAATAATGCGAATAGTTGTGTAGGCGCTTCAAACAATATATATTAAAAATATATTAACAAGTTGGTGTGAAGAAAAAGGTGTAATCCCTTATCACCTAAGGTCAAGTATTGTAAATAAAAGGTAAATCACATACACAAAGTGTATATAATGTATCAACAGCAAACACATATGTGAGGAAGGCTGAACTTGATGGATGCAAGTCTCTTTTCAGCTATCTAACTATGTAACTATCAATATACCACCTATTGTAGATATCCACAATTCACATCTGTAAAACAATAATACAATGTCTCATATCTTAAGGTGCTTTCCGTAACATTGGACTAAAACATGGTCTGTGTATCTTTTTTAAAATGAGTATTTTTGCATGGTAAACACATCTTGCAAGCAGGGCCGTCTTTAATAACGAATGGACCCTGGGCAAGTGTTTGCTTGGGCCCCCTGTGCCCTGCCGCTCTCGCCCCTCACTCCCTGGTATGCAATCACGGCATCCATCCCAACGCAGTGGCGGTACTAAAGTAGAATGAATTTTATTGGGACCCCCAATTGCAAGGTTGGACTAAAGGTAGAACCCCATCTGTCGTGCAACTCCAACAATGCTTTGACAGCTGGGACTCTACCAATTTCCCATGCTTGCAGGGTTGTATTTAGCACTGAGCCATGTTTGTATGTTTGAATGTAAGCATGTGTTTGTATGGAGTATGTTTGTGTGAATGTGTTTGTATGTGGTACTGGAGTTTGAATGCAAGTGTGCATTTATGTGTAGTGTTTGTTTTTGAATGTAGGAGTGTGCTTGTATGTAGTGTTGACGTTTCAATGCAGGAGTGTGTTTTATATGTAGTGTTGAAGTTTGAATGGAGGGGTGTATTTGTATTTAAAGTTGCGGCTCAGATGCACAGGTACACACTCTGACGCACAAGCAGATACACAGATACATACACTGACTACATACAGATAAACAGTCACATACACTGACAGACACACTGACACAGGTACATATATTGACACACACACAGACACATACACTGGTAGACATACTGACAGACATACTGACACAGGCACATATACAGACATACTGACACACAGACACATATACCGACATACTGACACACACACACACAGACACATACACTGATCAACATACTGACACACATACACTGAAAGAAATACTGACACCCACACACTGACAGATATACTGACACCCACATACACTGAGAAATACTGACACACACAGGCACATACACTGACACACATACAGACTGATATACTGACACACACACACACACACATACATACTGGCACACAGACAGATATACTGACACATGCATACACATGCACTAACAGACATACTGACGCACTGACAGACATACTGACACATACACATACTGACACACACACAGATATACACACACACATATACTGACACACAGACAGACAGACAGACATACAGACACACACAGACATACTGACACACACACAGACATGCTGACACACACACACATACACTAACACACACATACACTAACACACACATACACTAACACACAGATACACTATCACACACATACACTAACACACAAACACACACACTAACACACATACACTAACACACACATACACTAACACACACTAACACACACATACACACATACACAAACACACATACACTAACACACATACACTAACACACAAACACACACACTAACACACATACACAAACACACATACACAAACACACATACACTAACACACATACACTAACACACAAACAAACATACACTAACACACATACTAACACACAGTGTATGTGTGTTAGTGTATGTGTGTTAGTGTATGTGTGTTTGTGTATGTGTGTAAGTTAATGTGTGTTATTGTATGTGTGTTAGTGTGTGTTAGTGTATGTGTGTTAGTGTATGTGTATTAGTGTGTGTATGTGTGTTAGTGTATGTGTGTTTGTGTATGTGTGTTAGTGTATGTGTGTTTGTGTATGTGTGTTAGTGTATAACACACATACACAAACACACATACACAAACACACATACACTAACACAAACACACATACACTAACACACATACACTAACACACATACACTAACACACAAACACACACACTAACACACATACACTAACACACATACACTAACACACAAACACACACACAAACACACATACACTAACACACATACACAAACACACATACACTAACACACATACACTAACACACATACACTAACACACACATACACACATTTTTTTTTTAAAAATGTAATCCCCCCAGCCTCCTTACCTTTTGGAGTGCTGGGGGGGATTCCCTGGGGTCCAGTGGTGCTGCTGGGCTCCTGGGCGGGTGGCTGGTCGGGCAGGAAGGCGGGCGCGCGAGGGAGCACTCAGTGCTTCCTCTTCAGCTCCCTCGCACGCCGCGTAGGGATGCCGGCGCCGGAAGATGACGTCATCTTCCGGCTCCGGTATCAGTGCGGTGCGCGAGGGAGCTGAAGAGGACGCACTGAGTGCTCCCTCGCGCGCCCGCCTTCCTGCCCGACCAGCCACCCGCCCGCCGGGGTCAGCAGGGCCAGCCTCGGGGGGGCCCTGAGGTGGCCGCCTCCTGGGCCCCCCAGGGGAAGACGCTGGCCCTGTGGGGATGGGGAAAAAAATAAATTGATGAGGGCAGCGGGGCCCACGGGGCAGGTGCCTCGGGCCCCCCAAGAGAAACTGGGCCCGGGGCAGCTGCCCCGTTTGCCCCGCGTTAAAGACGGCCCTGCTTGCAAGGATAAAAGCCAAGTTTCTGATTTAAAAAGTATTTTCACTCTGTTTGTCCTTTAGGCATATTATTAATCCAAGGTTCCTAGTGACAGCTGGTTGTGTCAATATAACTATTGACATCAACCGGTTTAAAAAAAGTTTTGGTTTTAATATTAAAATCCTCTACATAAATTACTAAATCTAAAAAGTTCACTTGGGCTTTACTGTGTTCACTAGTTAGGGTGATGTTCCTCTGTTTAAAAAAAAAAAAGATACACAGACCATGTTTCAGTCCAATGTTACAGGAAAGTGCTTTACGATCCGAGACAATGTGACTTGCCATTCTACTAATGTGGTGTATCTCCTCTGGTGCCCCTGTGGGCTCCAGTATGTGGGCATGGCCACCAGAAGCTTAAAGACCCACATTATGGAGCACATGGGAAATATACGGAGGGAAAACACCAAACATAGTGTATCAGCACATTTTTAAGAAAAACACAATGGTGATGCTATCTTTTGGGTTTTATGGTGATTGGAAAAAAGAAGATAAACTGGAGAGGGGAAGATAATGTTAAAGAACTTAGCAAATTAGAGGGCAAATGGATCTTTACTTTAGATACCATGTGCCCAAAAGGTCTTAATATAGACTTTGAATTGGTTCACTTATTATGAAATATACTTTTTTAATTATATTCTGCTTTTATAATGTTTTTTATATTTACATTTTTCCTTTTTACAATTCTTAATATATATTTTAATATATTTTATATACTTCTTTCCTAATTAGTCCTTCTTGGCTTTTTCCATTTGGTACACCATATTTTATTTCTGTTCAACTCATTTTATTATTCTTTGTAATTTTTCACTTACTATGGACCTTTAGTACATTATAAGGACCTTTTCCACCATACATATGAACAAAGCTGGCTTGGAACGCATGGTGGAACGCAATGCGGTCATGTGACTGCGCCGAACCATAATTCGCGTGATTGCATCACACCGGAAGTGACATAAAACACACAAAACCGGAAATGTATTTCAGCGACAGCAGGAACAGTTTATTCTCATAAGGAGGGTGTGGTAAAAAAGTAACCTCGCCACTGGCTTTTGGAGGAGCCTGTTTGCCAGCCTCCTACCCTGTGACTATGGCCCCTGTGATAAAACTTGGTTAAAACCACTGTTCGTGCCTTTTATGACCTATATAATAACACTTCAAACTCCTGAAGCGGTTCAAAGCGGCACTTCGAACTCTCGAAGCAGTTCGAAGCGGCATTCGAACACAATGAGCAGTGTTTGGTCGTCGAGTACATGGAACTCAAATCGGACACTCGATGGCACAAACACTGCTAACTATTTACCTTCCACGGATGTTCGGCTATTCGAACGGGAGTCGAACGGCGTTAGGTAAGAATAAACTCCCGAACGAGAGACATAAACTGACTTTACTCACGAACGGCTACGTTCAGTATTTTGGGCTTTATTTTGAATTTGAAATAGACCGACCGTACAGCCTGATTCTCTGGAATTGTTTTGGTCATGGGACCATTTGGCGTTCAGTCAAAATGTGACTTCCATAGAATTCCTGAACCCCTGCACTGATCTGGGTGATTTTTGGATATGTTGGTCATCCAGATCAGGGCTATCAGGGGATGTAACATTTGTGGGGATATTATGTGTTTTTGGGGTACTTTGGGGGTTTTATAGAAATATGTGTTTTTTCTGCCTGGAGATAATTGAGTTAATACAGTGTCTGACTCAATTATCTCTCAGGCAGAGGGAAGGGATTGTTTGCTGTGTGTGGGAGTGTCGTGCCCTGTAACCTTATTGTTATTGGTCTGTGATGTTGTAAATCAGTCTACCATCAGGTCCATGTGGGCGTACCCCTTGCATGGGGATTGTCATATAAGGCCAAGTGTGGCAACATTAAAATCAGTTCCTCTTCACCCTCAATATAGAGCCTCGTCACATGTGTGGAGGGGACAGCTATATTCAATCTGGGGATTGCTATACTCCTTATACTCCCCTGGTTTCTAATTAGTAGCTCTTATAAGAACTGTTCTTGCTATACTCTCTAGAGTAGGAAAGGTTCACCCACTGGAAGCTGTATCCTGGTCTTGGGTCCAGGGTGGGTGGAGGACGGCAAGACCCCAACCAAGCTGCAGCGGTTTGTGGGGTCTACGATGCTGATGGTGTCTGGTGGATTGCTTGAAGTTCCTGACTGGGGTATATCTATAGCCTGTATAGGCACCCAAGGGCTAGATATATAGAGCCTGACACAGCTCCACCTTTGTAAATGTACTCTATATATTTTATAATTTTGGATATTTATATTTTATGGAGAGCACAATGTATGCCTTATCTTTTTTACAGATGTGAATTGTACTGTGGATATATACAATAGGTGGTATATTGATACATTATATACACTTTGTGTGTGGGATTTACCTTTTTTTTTACATGTAAGAAGAATATGCATAGATTACTCACACCTTAAAAGGCTCCTTACTGCAGGTGAATAGATGTATTAAGAATTAAAGACATCTCTGACCTCTACCAACTTTTAATTAACAACTTCGTAACTTTGTAAAGAAACAGTGGACTCATATTTTTGTTCTGAATCAACAAAAACATTTGTTAAAAATTTCAAGAAACTAACTTTTTACTATTCTTATGATAGTACAGGACTCCTATGGTCTTCTGTACTATGTTTTCTGTATAAGGTCCTCTGTGGGTTTTGCTGGTGGCATAGGTTTGTGTGGACCTCCTTGTTGAGTTATTTTTTTTTTTACTGAGCCCGAGGAAAAGAATATGGAAGTTAGACAAACTGCCCTCCTCTACTTTTTCCCACCTTTCCTTTTTTTTCCCCCTTCTTTTCTTTTCATTTTGTGGCTTACACGTGGCATAGTGTCATGAATGAATAATCAGCACATCCAGGGTTATAATTTTGCATCATAATTATACGGCTACATGATAAACTGGAAATGTTTTCTATATTTCCTCCCAATTGGTAACAGCTGATTTCTTAGAACTTGACTGTTTTTCTGAGACACATTGATGAGATGTGTTTTGATACTTTTTTATTTTAACAATTTTTCTCTATCTCCCTGGCTGCCGGTCGGGCTGGGCGGCGCTGGCTGCTGGGCGGGCGGCCGGCGAGGGAGCTCTTTCCCTGAGCTGTCCGCTCAACTTCTTTCGCGCGCCGAAGAGTGAGGCTGGGAGCCGGGTTGATGACGTCATATTCCAAGGGAGCTGAACGGACAGCTCAGGGGAAGAGCTCCCTCGCCAGCCGCCCACCCAGCAGCCAGTGCCGCCCGCCCGCCCGGCATGTCTGTTAGCCGCGAGGCTAACTAGGCATTCGCCTTGGGCATTTGGGGGCGGCGTTTTTTGCCGCCCCCTGAAAAATGCCGCCCAAGGCAAATGCCTTGTTTGCCTCGCGGCTAATACGCCCCTGCACAGCACCCACACACATACACAGCACCCACACACATACAGCACCAACACACATACACAGCACCAACACACATACAGCACCCACAGACATACACAGCACCAACACACATACAGCATCCACAGACATACACAGCGCCAACACACATACAGCACCCTCACAAACACACACAGCACCCTCACACACAGCACACAAACAGCACCCTCACACACACACAGCACACTAACAGTACCCTCACAAACACAAACACGACCCTAACAAACACACACACAGCACACTACCAGTAACCTCACACACAAACAGCACCCTCACACACAGTACATTAACAGCACCCTCACAAGCGCACACACACACACAAATAGCACCCTCACACATAGTACATTAACAGCACCCTCACAAGCGCGCACACACAAACACCCTCACCCACATAGCACACTACCAGCACCGTCACACACACATCACACTAACAGCACCCTCACACAGCACACACACACACACAGCAGTGTGTGTATGTGTGTATATATGTGTATGTATATATACACACATATATATACATACATACATATATATATGCGGCATGTGCTTGTGCTTTAGGCTGCACTACCTGAATAGCAAGGCTTGTTAATTTGCATATTCAATGCATTAGATATTTATTGTTGGATATTGTCTTCCCCACCCCTTTATTAATATGTCATTGTGTTATAATACATTGCTGTATGTTGTCTGCTATGATTTGGTTATTTGTATTTTATTGAAGTTGTCACAGCAATTGAAGTGTAATAAACATATGGGCTAGTCCCAAGGTAAAAATAAAGTATTGCATGTTAGTTACTTTTGGAACTGCACTGTGTGTGGATTTTTAAGGATCCCAGCCACAGAATTGTGATATCTGTTGGCTGGCTGCAAGATTCCTCTAGCACTGGGATAAATTAAGAGAGCTAGGCCTGAGAGACAAAAGTGTCTTTGTAAAGGCAATAGAAATCACATTGCAGGCAGAGGTGGATACCTGTCTGGAAGAAGGGCTGCAGCGGAATAGGCAGGGGGGACGATACCTGCCTGGAAGTAGGGCTGCAGCAGAATAGGCAAAGGGGATGATACCTGCCTGGTGTCACGACTACTGTATGACCCAAAACGCAGAGCTATGAAATACCAAATAATGTATACCATGCCTTATAATGGCCAGACTTAAGGTAAAAGAGAATGGTCAATAAACAAGCCGAAGTCACTGATACAAAAGTAGACAAAAAACCTAATACTAGCCAAAAGTCAGGATACCAGAAGTAGGGAAAGTCAAATATGAGCCAAAGTCAAATACCAAAAATATCAATGAACAGGAAAGCACTCTCTGACAACCAACAAGAGGACACACGACAGAGCACTAAGAAAAGACTAGTCAGGGTTTAAATATGCCTCTCTGTGTAGTGATTGGTTAGAACATGACTTTTGACCCTAAAATGTGCATGTGCGTCAATGACGTGACATCACACTCATACAGGTGCCATCTTTGTTAAGGGCAATAGGAATACCCTTATATAATTTGGGACCGCAGCAGTCGGCTCCCCTTAGAAAACCACACCGGCTCAGAAATGGTGGGGACGAGGATCGAGTGGTAATCTGTTGCGATCCAGGTAAGTCTTTCCCCTTTCCACGCGACTGCTCTGCTGAGGTGAGGCTGCGCCGACCGGGGACTTCGGCGCAGATACAGTATCGGTGCAACTACACTGACAAGGCACGGTCGCGCCGATATGAGCATTAGGGTTCGTGACACCTGGAATGAGAGGTTCCACCTGGTTGGGAGGAAAAGTTCCAGTGAGACTCCAGTCAAGCCTCAGCAACTGGGTTTCAAATGTTCCAGGCTCCCTCCCCAATGGCTAGGAAGCAAATTGGGCGGAGGTATTTGGTCAGAGTGCAGGACCTCCATCACTGTCCTCCACCATGGTCGGTGCAGCCACGGTACAGGGAAGTAAGTAGGAGGGAAGGGGAAAGACACCATAAGGGGATGTCTGGAAGAGACCACAAAGGGACTTAAGATAAGGAAGAAACACCCAGAAGGGCTGGCTGGAAGAAAGAGACACAGAAGGGCTGGGAGAGAAATGCTGGGGGAAAAAGAGACACACATAGGAGCAGAAAATGAAAGGGACACACAGAGGTGCTAATGAGAGGAAGAGAAACACAGAGGTGCTGGGGAAGAAATACACAAAGGGGCGAAAGGGGAGAAAGAGACACACAGAGGTGATGGGGGAGAAAGAGATAAACAGAGAGGCCGGAGAAGAGGAAAAAGAGACACACAAAGTGGTGTGGGGGCAGATACATTGTTCTGGTGAAAGAGACACAGAGGAGATAGGGAAGGGAAGAAAGGGACACACACATAGGAGGTGGGGGAAGAGACACACTAAAGGGCCTTAAGGAAGAAAGAGACACACAAAAGGGACTGAGGGGAAAGAGACATACAGAGGGGCTTGGGACGGGGAAAAAAAGACACACAAAGGAGCGGGGAAGAAAGACACACACAACGGAACTGGGAGAAAGTAAGAGATACACATGGGGGAAAATAAAAGACACATGGGGGTTTGTAAGAAACAATGGGGAAAAATGGGGGATAAATATGCTAAAGGGGGTGTAAGATGCAAAAGAGGGATAAGATAAACTAAAGCAGGCAAAACATTAAAAAAAAAGACTAAAAACACAAAAGGGAGTTTAAGAGACACACAGGTAAAAACGCTTTTGGGGGGGGGGGAGAGGGAATCAGCAAAAAAAGGCATCTTCACCTGTGTAGCCACTTCCTTGGGCATTCTGACAATATTATATTTTAAATCTATTATATTTTAAATATATTGATATACATTTGTGTGTATAAACATACATAATTTAACATTTTAAAGACATGGACGGACACACTTTCGCTGACCCACACTCTGGCACACACTCAGTGGCAGAAATACACACTCACTGACACACACAGATACTGACACAAACACACTCACTGGGAAATAATGGGGATTAAAGGGAACATCCAGAACATGCATTTCTCAGCAGTGGTGCTGCCGTAAAGACTAAATTCATGCAAAGATTAAGGAACAGCACACACAAATACTACATTTTACATAGCTACTTAAAATCACCTATTTAAGCAAATATAGGGATTTAATTCCACCGAAAGGCCATATCGTGTTGAGCTCACCACTACATCACAGTATCCCAATTTCGGTGGGTCCTACACTAATTTTAACATGGGAGACAAACAACTTAAATAGTGCCAGTGCTAAATGAATATAACTTAAACTAAAATGCATTCAATTAATCCATTGTAAGTGCATTGTAAATATATATCTACAAAATTAATGTTATCAAAAACACAATTATAAAAAATAAAGTGCTGTAAGTAGTTAAAGGGATACTATAAGTGCCAGGAATACAAATCTGTATTTCTGGCAGTATAGCCCCTCTGCCTCACCCCTATCTTGCACACCCCTCTCCACGGTGATTAAAAACCTCTTCATTTACTTATCTTACCCCAGACGTGCCTCGGCGCTGGGTCGTGGCTCCACTTCTGCCCCGGAACGAGCGGGCGCTAATGCGTTGAATCAATGCGTTGAATCTATGAGGAAATATCTGGCGCTGGATGTCATGCATCTGGGAGACAGCCACTGGAGGCAGACTTAGTGCTGCAATGTAAACATTGCAGTTTTTCTTGAACTGCAATGTTTACCATTGCAGCAGTAAGTGCAATAAGGACACTCCACCCAGACCACTTCAATGAGCTTATTGTGTCCCTTTCATGTGCCAGTGCATATATATATATATATGTTTTAATAATGCATAGAATAAATTATGTGCGTGCTGTTCCTTAATCTATATTTTGTACAAATACATTCAATGACACACATTCACTGTCACACATACACACACTGACACAAATAGCCTAACACACAATGCCTCTACCAGCAGCTGCCAGGGTACTTTCCTGGGTGGGCACATGGTAATGCAATGTGATCCCTCACTCTTCACGTCCAGCCATTCACAAAAACAAGGCAGTTGGATATGACATCATGAACCCCAACAATTTTTACTTTGTGCATTGCGAAGAGTGACTGGCTACTGTACTCTAAGGCTACCATCTGTGCCACCTTGTGGTAGCACCGGCCTTGCCATGGAGAACTGTTATTCTGCTCTGTTAGTCTCAGCCCTTGGTCATCGTGGCTCGCTGGGCATTTGCATGGTTTGCACGACGGCTTGTCAAAACCAATATATATTTATTTAATAGTTGCAGTACTGAACATAGAGAGACAGTCACATATTTGGAACCCCTTTCCTGGGATTGTTCTAGTGTTCTGTTTCTGATGAGACCACAGAAGAGTTCAGTGTTAGCACCAGGGCCGCCATCAGGGGGCGACAAACATGACGGTTGTCACGAGCCTGGCGGTCCTAGGGGGCCTGGACTGCTTCGGCAGTCCCGGCCCCACATTCCCTCTCTGCACATATACATAGCGATGATCGCTATACATATGTGCAGCCGCAGGGCCCCGGCTCCATGTATTTGCAGAGGGAACCAAGCAGACTGCAGCTGTATGTTACAGATCTTCCCTCTCTCTAACTCCCGCAAGATGTGCGACCGTCAGAGCGTTGTCACGGGTTACTCTCACGCTCACCGGAGTTGGAGAGAGGGAAGAGCTGTAATGTACTGCTGCAGTCTGCTGCCCCCCCCCTGCAAATACAGGGAGCCGGGGGGACCCACCATGTTACCGGACCACTATGGATGGAATCTTCCTGAACCAGGTAAGAAGCAGGGAGGGGGGAATAACATGTATTACATTTAATGTTAACACACACTCTGCATTCACTACACTAACACACACTCTGCATTCACTACACCGACACACACCCTGTATTCACTACACTAACACACACTCTGCATTCACTACACCGACACACACTCTGCATTCATTTACTACACTAACACACTGCATCCACTACACTGACACACTCTGCATTCACTACACTAACACACACTCTGCATTCATTCACTACACTGACACACACTCTGCATTCACTACATTAACACACTGCATCCACTACACTGACACACACTTTGCATCCACTACACTGACACACACACTGTACTCACTACACTGACACACACACTGCATCCACTACACTGACACACACTTTGCATCCACTACACTGACACACACACTGTATTTACTACACTGACACACACACAGCATCCACTACACAAACATCCTGTATTCACAGTACACACACTACATCCCCACACATTCAAACGCTCTGTATTCACTATACAGAGACACTGCATCTAATACAAACACTACATCCACTACAGACACTGCATCCACTAAACACATTGCATCTAGTACACACAAACACTACATCACTGTACACACACTACATCCACTACTCAAACACACTCTGCGTTCACTATACACACTGCATCCGCTACACAATAACACACTCTGCATTCACTGCACAAACAGTATCTAATACACACAAACACTACATCCATTACACACATTCTAATTCACTTCCACTATACACACCACATTCAGTCCTGCATCATTGTCAGCGGACTAGATAGGAGTCCTGTGGGCGGGCCAGGGAGGAGGGGGTGGGGGACCTTGAGCTTTGTCAGGGGCCCCAAAATTTCTGGTGGCAGCCCTGGTTAGCACTCAAGCTACACTAGGCAGGAATTTGTTCTAACAAAACTTACTTTAAAAGTGTTATATTCTGAAGCTCCAAAAGAGGGCACTACAGTCTATTTTATTTTTACATGGAGTTGAAGCAAAATAATTGAGTGTTTATATGATGTGCATCTTATATACATTCCACATATTATTATTATTATTGTTATTTTTATTATTATTGGTATTTTTATAGCACCAACCTATTCGGCAGTGCTTTATAACATTTAATCCATTACACATATACATTACTTTATATACATTGTTTACACATATACGAATAATATCAGAAAGAGTAGGATAGATAGATTTATATTATCATATATCAAATTCTGCAGTGCTTCACAACTATACAGTTTATGTTAAATTATAAGTGCCACGATAGCATCTTATGTTATGTTATGAGCAAGTAGGTGCATTGCATTTACTCTCTCTCTCTTTTTAAAATGTTTTGGTGTATCATTTTAGTAACTATTAGTCATTATTTATATATTTTCTTATTTTTTTCCTAGAGTTATGTTTTTCTGTAATCTACCGAAAAGAAAAGGCTAAAATATTAAAACAAAACAATTAAAATACAAAAAGGAAATAAAAGCAAACTAGTATAGGCTCAGCTTGAAGCTATCACTATGTTAACCAAAGTGGGCCTTTGCTTATTCCCTCACTTTGCAGTTGCAACTTTGTACCACACTAGATGCGGGAAGGAGAAACAGCCATAAAAGTGTTTTTCTATTGCTGGAGTATCATATGGCCCTCTTTTAGGGGTAATTATTGGTTTGTCCACACTATTCCAATGTATAATCAGCCTCATGGAGAAGCCAGAAATCAAAAGCAACCAGGCACTGCAGAAAAGCCTAAGCAGAGGTATCATCTCTGGAAGGCTGGTTTGGCAAGGAGATCAACTCAGTCTTGGTTTGCAGCTCCAGGCAATAAAATTCTGCACAATTGCTGCAAATATACAAAATGAAGTCCTTTGTTCAAACCCCCACTACTTCTGGGTGGCAGCAATGACTATAGCACACATCAGCCCCAATATATACAATAAAAACCAAAGAAAATAGTTACTTGCACACTATCCCAAATCTCTACGCATATTTAAATAACTATTGAGCATCACCCCAATGACCAGTTAAGCTCACATGCCACACTCACTTGAAGTGGCAAGTGAGCTTACACTTGAATGACCAGTGGCGTACACACAACCCATGGGGCCCCGGTGCGAAAACTGATCCGTGGGCCCCCCCACGCTTACTCTGCGCGGGTCTGGGCCGCAACACTTGGCGGCGGGCACCTGGTTGCAGGGGTCGCAGGGCTGCGACCCCTGTGACCGCGGTATGCACACCAGTGCATGCAAATACACATACACTTAAAGGACCACTACAGACACCCAGATCACATCAGCTCAATGAAGTGGTCTGGGTGCCAGGTACCCTCACTGAGGGTTAATCCAGCCTCTAGTGGCTGTCTCATTGACAACCGCTAGAGGAGCTTCCGCGATTCTCACTGTGAAAATCACAGTGACTAAACGCTGAACGTTGAACGCCTATGGGCGGTTTGAATGCGCGTGCGGCTCTTGCCGTGCATGCGCATTCGGTGCTGAGAGGCGGATCGGGGGAGAGAGATCCCCAGCGCCAAGGGAATCCGGCGCTGGAGAAAGGTAAGTGCTGAAGATACACTCACACACTCTCACAAACAGATGCATACTAGCTAACAGACACACACACACACTCTCACGAACAGACGCATACACACTAGCTAACAGACACACACATTTACTGACAGACACACACTCAGTGACAGACACCAAACAGACTCACTAACAGACACACACAGTAACACACTAACACACACACTCTAACACACACTCAAACACTCTAATACTGGCTCTCTCACACACACACACACACTAACACACACTAACACTCTAATACTAACACACGCACACTAACACACACACACTATAACACACACACACTCTAACACACACACACACACTCTAATACTAACACACACTCTAACACACACACTCTAACACTAACACACACACACACACTAACACACACACTAACACACTCTAACACTAACACTAACACACACACACACACCAACACACACGATTTTTTTTTAAATATAATCCCCCCAGCCTCCCTACCTTTGGAAGTACTGAGGGGATTCCCTGGGATCCAGTGGTGTCACCGGGTGGGTGCTCCCTCTTCAGCTCCCTCCCGTCGCATACTGATACCGGAGCCGGAAGATGACGTTATCTTCTGGCTTCGGTATCAGTGCGGTGCACGAGGGACTGCGGTGTGCGGTGCGCGAGGGACTGGTCAGAAATGCTTCAGACTTGAGAAAGGGAGGTTCTCTCGAAAGCTTGTCATTAAACAATTCTGTTAGTCCAATAAAAAAGGTATTACAAGATACAAATTTTATCTGTTTTTTACATCTACATCACTGGACTAATACGGCTACAATCTCTACTAACTGAATAACAAAGTACATGGATAAAGAAATATTAATGCTCTAAAAGCTGTACAAACATTTGTCACTAGAGAGCGCTGTGATCAAACTAAAATATTTCAGGTATGCGATTTATTTCAGAAGGGTAACTTGTAAAAAATTGATGTATGGTCATACTTTGCAAAATATTTTTTCCTCTAATTTTAAAAATGTTAAAGAGGTGCCTTAAATACCACAACCAAACAGCCATTATTTTATATATGGTGTTGTTAAAGGGACACTATAGTCACCCAGACCACTTCATCTCATTGGATGTACTGTCCCTGACCCCTTAGTACTGCAATTTAAATCATTCTAGTTTTAGAGAAACTGCAATAATTACCTTGCAGGAGTAGGGATGCCTCTAGTGGCTCTTAATTAGACAGCCACTAGAGGCTCATCCTAGATGCTAACAGACTCTAGGCTCCCTAAATGACGCTGGATGTCCTCACGCCCTGCATGAGGACATCCTGCATCAGAGAAATCCCTATAGGAATACACTGAGGCAATGCTTTTCTATGGGGAGGACCTAATGTGCTCACATGGCTCACTGCGCATGCACATTAGGCTCCCCCATTAAATTATGTTGGAGAGGGCGGAGCACCAAACCAGAGCAGAGGGACATCGGCGCTGGAATTGGGTGAGTACATAAAGCGATTTTAATCCTTTACATGCTGTATGGGGGGGGTGGGAGGGGGGGGGCAGAGGGTACTATAGTGTTAGAAATACAACTTTGTATACCTTACACCAGGGGTAGGCAACCTTTTAGCAGCACTGTGCCTATATAGGATTGTGATGTCTTGTAGCGTGCCGATTCTATTGTTTTCAATTGAGGTGTGTATGCTGCCGTATTCTGCTTGTGTTATTTTTACTGTAATTGCTTTGTATTGTTGTATTTGTGTGTATATGAGCTATTATATTGTATATGTTCATTAGTAGTTTATGGTATTGTGTATGATACACATGAATGTGGGCTGTTTTATGAGTGCTGCTTGTGGAATGTGTGGATGGATATTTCACGTTGTGTGTGTTTGTGGGGCTGTTTGAGGTATTGCATGTGAGAGGCTGCATGTGGGGTTGTGTGCATGTATGTGGATTGTTAGCGGGTTATGTTTGTGCGGATTGTGTGTATGTTTGTGTGTGTGCTGTTCGTATTATTTGAACGAGGGGAGGGTTATTCTGCATTTCTGTGTATATCTAGCAGTGTGGGTGGCTTCCCTGGGTTCCAGCGGGGACCAGGCTGGCCAGGTACAGGTCAAGGCCAGGAGCTGCAATAGCAGCTGCAGGCTGCTCTACTACTGTGTGGATTCCTATTCACAAGTGCTGGGAGGAACTGATCTGAGATCACTTCCTCTACGTGCTGCAATGCATAAATTGATGATTGTCCTTCACCACCTCTTCGTATTAGCAGATATCTGAAGTTTCACTGGGACTCCTTATAGGCCGGAGCCTATTTGGCTCTAGCAGCCTTGAGTGCCGTGCAAGGACACCTTGAGTGCCGTGCATGGCACTAGTGCCGTAGGTTGTCTACCCCTGCCTTACATTATAGAGTAATTTTAAGCTTGTAGGTGCCCTCCTATCTGTTCAGCTTTCACTTTTTCCCCCCTTCCAGCAGGCACAGGGCTGTTTTTCCATTTTATTTTTTGCACTGGTGTTTATTTTTTGGTTTGGACACTATTTCCTTTTATATAGTTACTTTTGATGCCCTGTTGTTTATGAGGTCTGCCTGCTATTTATATATCATGTTACTAATGTTTAACACATAAGGATGCACTACTTATAAACTACCTTGTTTATATATTATGGATGGCAGCAGACCTTTTGGAGCAAGATGGGGAAATAAAATCAGATGGCAACCGATGAATTTTGGGATTGAGGTTTTTATTTTTAATTCTGCTGAATTTCTCTGTATTTATAAAGACAAGATGAAAGTGAAAAAAAAAGTAAAGTCATCAAAAAAAATCCATATCTCGATATCATCTGAACGAATGTAAAAACCCAAAAGATTGCGCATGAACACATTTTTAGACATTGGCTACATAAGCTCCATGAAGTGTAAAAGAAACTCTCAGCTCTCAGACTGGACAGATTTCAAAACCCTGGCACCCCCTCCCCTTTAAGTAGTCAAACTGTTTTAGGTATGACTTTTTGGATGGGCCTGCCAGGTGCCTCTCCCTATCTCAACTACTTCAGCCAGAGATCCAAAAAGTGCTTCTGAGCTCTAACTCATTTGTTACCTTAGTAT